TTATCACCATTAGGGCATTGAGGGCATCCCTGAGAGTCAACGCCTTCACTTGATACCTGCAGATAGCTGATATTACACCTCTTTTAAAAAATGAGAAAGATAAACTAATATGGACTTATTTCTCTTTAAAAAAACTTTTCTCACCTACGTGAATATTACTGCATTTTCTCCGTTTAAGAACATATTTCGTAAAGTCTCGCTACTGATGTTGGGAGAACTGATATGTCTTTCAAAAAGTTTTTTATAGTCTAAATGTTCGAGACCATACGAATATTAACCTCCATCTTTGTTATCTTGCTTACTTAACAGCTCTTTTTTTGAAATGTTTGCTAGAAAGGTTGCGGCAAAAGACGTTTTCCCTTTTGCTGCACCCAGCAATCGAAGTTTCTGGTTTTTTTTCCTAGCACGCTCAAAAGTGCTTCAAATGATTATATAAATAAAGATCACTACAGCTTTGGAAAAAACACCGACACGATCATCACCTGCACTGTTGCACGTTTAGCCTCGCTTTCCTGGATTTGACGCAACTCACCAGTGAGAAGGATTCTGTCATCCATGTCAACCAGCACTAATCTGAATTGAGCATTAAAAAATTGATTTCGACTATTTCTCGACAACATTGAGGCAATTTAACATTGTCTTAGACCACCTTTTAACATACCTTCCTACAATGGGGTACATAAAATGAGCAGTTGCAGCAGGTCGCGGGAACTGAGGCCGTAATGGACCGCATGAATCGTCCGTAACAAGTGACTGTAAGCTTTCACTGAGCTTCAGTTTAACTGATAATCTAGCAAGCTACCTTTAATGCGATAGTTTCTGCTCCAAAAATGTTGATAGTGGGATAAAAGTTGTCAAAACTTCTATGAACGGTTTCGGTGGACATATCCAAGCAGTCATCCCTGAAAACCTGGAGCAGTCTACATTAAAAGACTAATCAAGTAGAGACTAAATCACGCTCACTTGTATGGGATCTACCTTATGTGTAGCGTCCCCATGTCGAAATCGGATGCCGAACGAACGGGCTCAAAGTAATGAGCCTAAAACAGCAAACATACATACTTCCAACACACTGGAACGACGTGCTACTATAGCTTCATAGCCAA